TCTGAATAGACTTTGAAGTGCCTCCCAAGCAAGTAGTGCTTCCAATGATCTAGTGCTTGCCTGAGAGCGTAGAGTTCTCTCTCATAGGTTGATGTTGCCACCTTCGGCTACTTTAAGGACTGGGTATTCTATCAGGGCCCGCTTTAATCTCTTCAGGGCAGTTGTATAGTCCTTGTCCCACTTCCAGATTGCCTCTTTCTTTAGCAACCTGCGAAGGGGTGCAGCAATGGTGGAGAAGTTCCTGACGAATTTCCTATAGTAATTAGCTAGGCCTAAGAACGACCGAACTCTGTAAGTGTGCGGGGCGTTGGTCAGTCTCTAATCGCTGCAATCTTACTATCTTCAGGTCTAACGCCATCTCCGCCAAAGATGTGGCCCAAGTACAACACTTGTGTCTTGGCCCATTCTTACTTCTTTGCGTTAATCTTGAAGTTAGCTTCTCTAAGCTTCTCCAGGACCTGCCTTAGATGACCCTCATGCTCCTGGAGGGTCTTATTGAACACTAGAATATCATCTAGATATACTACAACAAATCTATCTAACCATGGCCTAAACAAATCATTCATACGACGCTGAAATGTAGTTGGCACATTGGTTAGTCCAAAGGGCATCACTACAAACTCGTAGTGCCCATACCTAGTCCGAAATGTTGTCTTGTATTGATCATCAGGATAAATCTCTATTTGATGATAGTCGGACTTCAAATCTATCTTCGAGAAGTATTTGCAGCCCTACACCGGGTCCAACAGATCATCTATACGGGGCAGTGGTTCTGCATTCTTTACTGTGATAGCATTAAGACCCCTATAGTCTATACACATCTTGAGCTCTCCCTCTTTCTTGGGGACAAAAAGAACAGGTGCCCCAAATGGAGATGAGCTAGGCCTAATCCAACCTTTCTCGAGGAGCTTGTCTAACTGCTTGTGCAGCTCCTCTAACTCCCTTGGGGACATTTTGTACACAATTCCCTTAGGAGTCCTACTGCCAGGCACTATCTCAATGAGATGTTGGATTGGCCGCGACACTACTCCTGTAGGCGGCTTAGCTAAGTCTGTATACTCCTCCAACAGCTTGGCAATAGCAGGATTGATGGGTTTCTCCTCTTCAGGCTCAGTGACAGGCCTAACATAGGCCACAAAGACCTGCTCTTCTTGTTGCTCCTTCTTTACTAAGCGCACGAACGCGGGAGCACTGAGGCAGCAGTGTGCCAAAGAGTTGTTTACTCTCGACACGTGAAACAGACGAGCCGTCTTGACTTCACCTGATGGACTAGGGAGCCTACAGCCGTGCTCTCTCAAGTCGAGTGTGTCCCCTGGTGCCTCTCCCCAATCCATTCCTAGGACCATATCGAATGGGAGGTTGTCCTCTACGAGGAGAGTCAGGGAATGGAGAACTTTCTCCACCTTCCCATCCTTTTCTAGGCGAAAGTACGCCTGGACTCCCTATACGCAATCCTCGACTCGCATAGTGTGTTTGTCTGCGAGGATACTGACTATAGGGTCCTCTAATTTTTGGACTTTAAGATTCAACTTCAGCTTCTGCAATGCTTTTCTACTAATATAACTGTGGGTGGCCCCACTATCTATAAGGACCCCTACTCTACCTCTAAAAACCTCTACATCTACGAACATTAATTGTCCCTTCGCATCCTTCTTCATCTTGGCCCAGGCAGGCATCCTCTGCTTCAATTCTCATGCCACACCTGTGAGGGAAGTGCCTAGAGATACCCTAACACAAGCAGTCTCTAGACAACTATCTAGGCATTGGCCAGCAATCTCTGCCATAGACACATGTGGTTTGGGAGTTTCTAATTGGTGTGCGCACTCTTCTCCACATGGTCTAGGGGTAAGGGCAGTTGCGACCCCTATCGGTGATTGCCTTCCTCTGCCAAATTGTTTGTTCTAGGCCCAGATCTTCCCAAGGCCTGCCCTGTGGCAGACCAAGAAGCCATCCAACTTCTCCTATAAGGCAGAGATGAGCAATGGGTACCCAGACCCACACCCACCCACACCCACCCCACCCACGAGGCATTGGGTCAGGTGTGGGTCTTGATAAGCTGGCATGGGTGGGATGAGGGTGGGTCTAGGCGAGCAAGCCTGGGTGGGTGATGGGCGGGTCAATGTTAGGCCAGGGTCACCCGAATGGGTGGGTGACAAGCGGGTGAGCGCTAGGCCTGGGTCACCCGACCAACAGACCCAGGACAACCCATAAGAACCCTCCCCCCCAGCCCCCCCTTATACGTATTTCCTAGTTGCGGTCCATCTGTGGACTTCAAAGGTTGGAGGCCCAGGAAACAGAAAGTCTCCACCCTGGGGCCCCTGGAAAAAGAAGTTGTGGTCCTAAAAAAAAAAGACCCGCGCCAGTGGCAAATCAAAATTTGGGGTCCTCCCTGAAAAAATGTGTCACGCTCTACTGGTGGCAGCTGGACCATGGCCCAAACAACGAGATGTTCGCTCCCATTAAAACAACAGGGATCGGACCTAACCACAGCAAGTGGCAAGCCTTAGGTTCACTAGCCAATTTCAAACTTGTGGAGCGATTTGAATTTCCGCATGCAGAGATGCTTCAAAGTTTTGGGCCGTCATCCAAGGATGTGATGTTGCTATGGTGCATGCAAATTTTCGAAGGGACTGAGACAATGGGGAATGAGCGGGTGCGGGTGGAAAATAATTAGGTACCGGGTGCGGGTGGGTAATTTTGTTCTCGCGGGTACGGGTGGGTGAGGGTGAAGGTTGTCGGGGGAAATTCTCAAAAAAAACACTCGGGTGGGTTGGGTCAATTTGAGATTTTTTGTTTTTGTTTCTTTGAGGGTGGGTTGTGCTTAAAAAATTATGGCCGGGTTGGGTGAAGTGCTGATTCAAAAAAAAAACGCTCATCTTTGCTATAAGGTGACCGATTAGAACTGGAGCGGTTTTGTGGGGGACCTTGACCCCTACCTCCCGCTTGGCGGCCTCCTCTGCCACCAACCCCCTGATCGCCCTGTCCACCAACCACCAGAGGTACGACCTTTCCACTTCTTTCCCTTGTCCAGGTCCTTATGCCAGAAAGTGGCAACTGGCATGGACTGCACCTCAAATGCTACCACCTCCCTACTCAAGGTATCGTAGGTCATGGTAGATTCGCTACTCTTTTCAAAGAAGTGCCCGCTCGGGCATGGCACGATAGAACAGGGAAGCTTGTGACCCTATGATCAGGGACGACGACTAAATCATCTATCAGACCCTTAAGTGCCCTGGCACTCTTCCAAAGGCGAGTGTGAATGGTGTGCAGCTTGTCAGAAGCTCTAACACTTCATGTGACATTTGCAAACCTTTCGCGCAACAACTTAAAGAACTCACTGAGAGGGGTGAAGGCGGAATAGGCCACCATATCGTTATTGCAATTAGCAGCACGACATAGCGACCTGGTGAAGCTGGCTGCTTCGTCTTTGAGGGCATGGAAAGCTATTAGGACATGTTCGTTAGGCGAGATCTTTCGCAAATGCACGTAGGATCTCTCCTTCTCTATCGTCTGCCGCTTGAGAGCATCTTCTTTGGCTTCCAATTCCTTCATGACCACCTCCTGCTCTTCCCTGGGTACATACAGCATCGCTTCCTCCTCTTCTCCCAGTGACAGGTTGGCAACCCATTCATAGACACCTTCTCCAGCCAGGAATCCTCCTCGTTCGTGCCACTCAACTCTCCTCTACCCCCGAATACTTGTTCTTATCAGGGGCACTTCTTCCTCCACCTTCTTCTCTTCTTCTTCTTCTTCTACGTCCACTGCTTTCATCCTTTCTTCCTCCTCTTTCTTTACCCTTTCCAACTCTTCCTCCAATTTCTTTCTTTTTGCGGCCTGCTCCTGCATTAAGGCCAACTTTTTGGCCTGCTTCATATTGCTCCTCCTGAACTTGTGCCAGGCGTTCTATATTTTTTGCCATCACTTCCATCTTCCCTTGAAAATCCGCTTGTGCCTCCATTTGCACCCTCAACTGTTTCACCTCCTCCAGTTCTTTCGCCGCCTTACTCGCCGCTTCCAGTCTTTTCTTCCTCTCCGTGGTCAGATGCAACTTCCACTCTAACTTTTTCTCCTTCTCTATCGTCTGCCGCTTGAGGGCATCTTCTTTGGCTTCCAATTCCTTCATGACCACCTCCTGCTCTTCCCTGGGTACATACAGCATCACTTCCTCCTCTTCTCCCAGTGACAGGTTGGCAACCCATTCAGAGACCACCTTCTCCAGCCAGGAATCCTCCTCGTTCGTGCCACTCAACTCTCCTCTACCCCAAATACTTTTTCTTATCAGGGGCACTTTTTCCTCCACCTTCTTCTCTTCTTCTTCTTCTTCTTCTGCGTCCACTGCTTTCATCCTTTCTTCCTCCTCTTTCTTTACCCTTTCCAACTCTTCCTCCAATTTCTTTCTTTTTGCGGCCTGCTCCTGCATTAAGGCCAACTTTTTGGCCTGCTTCACAACCTCCTTCTCCTTCTTGGCCTTCTGCTCGGCCAAGATCCTCGCAGCCTCCTCCTCCTGTTCCGGCGTGTAGGAAGTGGTACTAGTGCCACCCCTCGTTTCTACTCTACAGGTCATCGTGTTCTAGAATCCTAAAGGGAAGAAAAGACGCCAGAGGTTCCCCCATAGGGAGAACCCCACAAGCAAGCCGTACATGGGGTAAACATCCATGGTGCTCAGGTGCACAACAAAAGTGTCCCACTCCTCACCACTTAGACCTATGCACTTGACAGACTAACTGACCGACTCTCTACGGACCACAGAGCCCTACCCTTTGATCGAGCCAGGTTACCACGACCGACGAAAGCTTTCGCCACCACTGTCCTTTACAATCCAGACCCAGATGCCCTGCACCTGCGGTCAATCCCACCTGGCTTTCGCTCCGGTTCAGGACCCTGTCAACTAGGGTCTCTAGCCTAGACCTAAACTAAGGTTGTCACTACAGGACTCACTGCTGATCAGGAGGCATTTAAGGAGATTCCTCGTAACTCCTTAGGAATTATTTAACGTCGCAGACAAGACGACGCGATCAGCAAGTCCTCTCAAGAATTAGACAGCCTGTTGTGCAGCCCACAACTCGGATTTTGGGCCTACCGTGCCACACCGAGCAGCCCGTCGGTCAGTACCGGTCCTTGGGAGGGTTCGTGTCCTCCGGGTCAGTCGAGTCGTCAGACACAACCTTTAGCCCTGCTCAGCCCGTGCGGGTTTGGTCAACAAGGCTCTATCCTTCATACACGGAGTTCCTAGCACCTAGATAGAAGAGACTCAGAAAGAAGAGACGGACAAACTCAGCAAGTACCATGGGGTGAGTGCACATCCATAGGGCGAGGGGATAGGTTGAAGGCTTGGCGAGAGTATACCAACTCCAGCTTGGTCAATTTCGTGGTCAACGACTTCGGTCAACGCCTTGGTCAACGCTTGGTCAACGCCGATCAACACCAGTCAACGCCCCGGTCAACCCCGGTCAACCTCCGGTCAACTCCCGGTCAACGCCTTGGTCAACGCTTAGCTCGCCTATGGCTGCCGACCCTTTCTTTCTCACCAACCCTCGCT